TGCATATGCATGTCCTGCTGGGTAACTGCCATCGCTCACTGCATTGCACTTGAATTTCAAGACAATTATAAATTATGCAAGCAAAACAACAGCAACAACAACAACAACAACACTAGCGCACCTGAGCCCTAAACAATTTTACAGTTAATCGCAGGCAACTTTAAATTACATAAATTGCAGCTTAATTAGCTCAGCATACCCAATTTTTATGCCTAGCTCCCTGCCTGAGTTTTCGCAGTCCTTGCAAGGCACAACAACTGTCCTAAGCATAGTCTCATTTTGCACTGTCATTGGGGTGCTGAATATACATTAAACATACGCTTAATATGTTATTTTGTGCCCGTCATTGGAGTTGCGAAAATGAATGGCTCAACGGGGCGTATGCGCAATTTAAAAACGTTTAAAATGCCATTAACAAATGCTTTAGGCATATCATTTGATAATTTGTCGCGAGCCGCAACTCAAAAGACATGTATCTGTGTGTGTGTGTGCGTGTGTGTGTGTGTGTGTGTGGCAATTAGTTAATAACTGCCTGGGCGTGATACGCCTTGAATGCTTTAAGCTGGCTCTTTAAGCACTTGCCCGGCCAGCACTCAATAAATCAACGGCCAAGTCTCGTGGCTCAAACGATTTCCCTTTGGGCGCTATCAACTGTCATAACTCTCTCTCTCAATTTATTGTAGGAAAAATGTCAATCAAGTGAATAGAACGGATTTACACAGATTGGGAGTGGGAGAGAGAGAGAGAGGGAGAGAGAGAGAGCGAGAGGTGCAGACAGGCATATGCCAAATTCAAAAACTATATGGCATTGCCACAACATATCCTTTGATTGACTGCTCTGACTGCTCTGACTGGACTGACAAACTGTTTGACAAACTGATTGACTGTTCATCAGTTGCTTGACTATGGCCGTAATAGCTGTGCGTCTCTCTCTCTCTATCTATCTCCCTCTTGCAGCGGGGGTTCGCAATCGGTAAACGTGACTGAGCCCCACGAACATGGACAGCAAACATTTCAATCCGATTTTCAGCAATTCCAATTCTGGCGCCACACACGCACACACACACACACACACACACACACACACACACACACCCACACAAACAAAACAATTTGCATATGAGCTGGCCAAAAAAAAAAAAAAAAAAACATCAACATTTTCGACTATGCACATACTTATACACACCCCATACACCCACACACACACACACACACACATGGCAACCATTTCCGTTTCCGCACGCTTGACGCTGGCAGCAGCTAAAAAAAACACACACACAATATATGCACACATATAAAAACAACTGAAGCACTTTAGACTAGCCAGAGAGACTGACAAATACCCTGTAAAACAGATGAAATTGGAAATTTCGGAAAAGCAGAACTGAGGCAATGAAATAGTGACTGAGTTTTGGCTAAAAAAAAAAAAAAAGGTTGAAAATGAAATTGCTAAATACCTCGTAGAGAATAAAAACAAAATCATATAAATACAATGAGAAGAAATACCTAATAATTTAGGCTACATTTTCTCTGTTTTTTAGAATGAGTCAAATGAATGAATTAAATAAAAAATAAATTAATTAGAAATATTTTAGAAAAAGCTTGCAAAAGCTGAAAAAAAAGAAAAAAAAAACGAAAACTTTGCTTCAAGGTAATTGCTAAAAAATAAATAAATACAATGTGAAGTAATACTGAAAAAATGCTAAATATGCACTTTTTTTAAATTATATTAAAAATATATTTTAAATTATATTTAAATAATATATATATACACTAAAAATATTAAAAAAAAAAAAAAAATTGTAAACTTGTAAAAGCTAAAAGAAAGGTAAAACTTCATTCAGCTACTTTTTGGCTAGTTTTAGCTAACAAACTAATCGCTGTTTCTAAGAGCATATCTGCACGGAATGCAACTTTAAGCCAACTTTTTCTAGGGTATATCAGATATTGCCGCACCCATGTCTACAAATGAAAATAAACGAACGTTATACAAAATGAAGTTTGAATCTGAGCGGTGAACAGCAAAAAGGCCGCTGCTGTTGTTGTTGCTGTTGTTCTTGCTGCTGCTGAATTTGTTGCTGTTGTTGTTGTTGTTGTTGTTGCTGGTGCTACTGTTGCTGCTCTTGTTGTTGTAGCTGCTGCTGTTGTTGTTGTTGTTGCTGCTGAATTTGTTGCTTTTGTTGTTGTTGTTGCTGGTGCTGCTGTTGCTGCTCTTGTTGTTGTAGCTGCTGCTGTTGCTGCTCTTGTTGTTGTAGCTGCTGCTGTTGTTGCTGTTGCTGCTATTCCTGCTGCTGCTGTTGTTGTTGTTGCTGCTGCTGTCGTTGTCAGTCGCAAGGGAAAGAAACTTAAGCTCAAATGTTTTTTTCCCGCGGCGAGTTTTTGTTGTTGTTGTCGTTGTTGGCCTGGGGCGTCGCCAAAGCGGCATTTAAAGAGCGTTCAACAGCAGGTAGCAGCGACCTGTGGAATCGACTCCAGTTGCTGCTGCTGCCCTCACCTCAGCTAGCTGCAATCCCTCCCAACCCACGAGAAATTGCCGCCAATGTCACGTCTTTCTCTTTCTCTTTCTTTTTCTTGACAATTTTCTTTTTTTCCTTTCCTTTGCGGCCAAGTGTTTTTTCGACTGCCTGGTAATAGTTATTTGCATAATATTTGCACAAATAATTGAATTTGTGTTCTTAGCCTCGACTCGCCAAATTGTTCGAGTGAACTTTTCTTCGACTCTGTGCAGATAATGGCAAACATTTTTAAGCGCCTGCAATTGAAGTTTCTGAATGCTTAACTTGCCATGAAATTGAACGTTCAGCAGCGCCAGAAGAAGAAGAAGCAGAAGCAGAGCCAGAGCCAGAGCCTCATTTGTTTTGTCTAGAAAGTTTAGCGCGCTGTGCCTGCATGTGTTGTCCTTTAAGGACTATAATAATATGGGGTCTTTATCTGGTTAAGAGTTTTTGCAGTAAAATTTTATAAAGAGGTGGTGCTTAATTTAAATTCAATTTATTGCCGATGAGAGTTTGCAATAGAATGAATGTTATATGAGATATTAAAGAACATTAAAATATTCTTAGATATAATAAAATTATAATTATGTATTGCTACAATTATTTTAGCTTTAAAACTGAAGAAAATATAAATCAACTCAGGCTGATTATCATATTTATTTACCAAGTCGTCAATACTCACTTAAAAATGCATACAATATATACTTAAATATAATTTCATATAATCCACTTGCAACTACAACGAATTTAACCGCAATGGAAATTCCATTCAAACTGAAAAATGCATCAGCGCCAACATGTGTGAGCCCAACTGGCTGCAATCAGTTGTAAACTAACTGCTGCATACAAATGGGTTACACAGTGAGAGAAAGAGAGAGCGAGAGAGAGAGAGAGAGAGAGTGAGTAAGTGTAACTGAGATGGCTACAAAGCGTCGCCACTTATCAAATCAATGGGCGAAGGTTCATCAACGGAGCGCAGAGTTCGTATAAATGCGTTCATTTAACACGAAATGCAACTTAAGAGCTTGCATCAAATCAAATCAAACGCACTCTTGTTGGCTAGTGTAAATGGAAATAAAACCAGCAGAAAAAAAAAATGGAACTAAAATGTATATCGCTTAAGAGCGACAAATTCGCTGTGTGTGTCAGCGCGAGTCGTCGCCTGAAGTTGCTAAGTTGCTCATACGCCACGTTGCACTTATTTCATGCTGCGCCTGCCTGCCGGCGGGTGTGGCATGGGGGCGTAGGTAATGCACTGCCGGCTGCCTGCTGCCTGCTGCCTGCTGCCTGTGCAGTCAGCGACTTTGCGACGTTGACTTAACTTGGCAGGGATTTACGGCAACGCTTCACGGAGCTTGCTTGCAACGTGCCACATGCAGCATGGGAGTTGTTTTTTTTTTTTTTTTTTTATGCTGTCCCTCTTATTTCCTCTTGCCTCTTGCTATTATTAGGTTGCAATAGACGCAGGCTAAATAAATCCACGTCGCTTAAGACGACGCCATGTGGATAAAGGGCTAACGAGAGCAGTGCCTCAGACTGCAAGCGTATGTGTGTGTGTGTATGTGTGTCTGTGTCTATTCATGTATTTCATTGCCTGGCATTTAAGTTTAACGTTGATGCATAGCATTCTGCATAATTAAAACGAACAACCAGCAAGAACAGACTCCTATATCCACAAACTATATTACTTATACATGTACGTGTGTGTCTGTGCATGTGTGTGTGTGTGTTGCCTTGACAACAGCTCAGCATATCTGTGTGTGTGTGTGCTTGACAGCGTACACGCTCTGCACATGTCGTTAGGTTGTCTTAAATCCGTCAAGAATGTTAGCTTCAACATAAGATTTTAAATTAGAAAAAAGAATAGATGATAGATATACTCTGAAGCTTTTATAATTAATATTTAACATCATAATGATAATTAAGATGGTTTCAATTTTGACTGCTATAACTAGCTCTTTTACACTCTGAAATATACTGAAAGAATCGTGCTCACGCGCTCTCTTTTCTTTGACGAGCCTGAGCCTTCGTTTTTTTTCGTTTTTGTTTTCTGTTGAGCGCTCTGAGTTGAAATATTCGTGTGACGCTCTTTACACGAACATCGCGTAGGGAGAGAGAGAGGATTGACGCTCGCACACTGAGACTCAGTAAACAAATAACTCAAAAGCTCAAGGCAAACGGTCTTTGCATTACACACACTCAAACCGCGTAGGCAATCGATGTGTTTAGCGTATAAGTACCAACACATATACAAAAGGCTCTTTGCTTCGCTTAGCTCAACGAACAAGTCGGCTAAAGAGCACATTTAACTTCAATTGAGTTTTTTCAGAGTTTATTTGCAACTAGAGCTAGCAGAAAATGTGATTAATAAAATAAATACATTTTCAATTAATTAAAAACAAATATAAAAAGAACCTTAAACAAATTTTTAGCTAATCATATAACAATCTCTTAAAGAAGACCATCTCTAATTTTCCACATTTCACTCAATTCTCTCTCTTGCAGAGCTTTTGTGGACAACACGCATTTACAGACGCTCCATCTGAACTTCAATCCGCAATTGAGTGACATACCCATGCGCCTGTTCCAGGGCAATCCCAACATTCTGGAGGTGTACATGCAGAGCAACAGCCTGCAGACGCTCTACTCGGCCCAGTTCCCAGTGGATCAGCTGCAGAAGCTCTACCTGGGCGATAATCCGCTGCAGTGCAACTGCTCGCTGCTCTGGCTCTGGCGCCTGGTCACTGGCAACTTTGAGGGCACAGAGCCCGCGCTGGAGCATGCTCAGGGCGGTGCTGTGGCCGCGCTGGCCAAGGAGGCATCGCTAGTGCGGGAGCAGGAGGACGACACCACTCTGAAGACCGACGATGGGGTCTCCGCCCTGGCTGCCTACATAGCCGAGCAGCATATTGCCAACGCCCTGCAAACCACCGAGCCGAGCGCGTATGAGCAGCGACTGGAGGCCGCCGCCAGCGCCAGCTCCAGCAGCAACTCCAACTACTTGCGCATGGACAAACAGCAGATCGGCTGCGACATTTGGCGGGACGGCGTCCGCACCCGACGCCAGCTGCTGACAATGAGCGAGGGCGAGATTACCTGCCCGGCGCACATCGTGACCGTCGTCTGTGCGGTGATCACCAGCCTCCTGGTGCTCATGATCGGCATCAGTGTGCTCTACTATCTGCGCTTCGTGAAGCGCCGGCGCAAGCTGCTGCATGAGCGCGGCCCGCTGCGCACCAGCAAGAGCATCATCAATGTGCACGACCGCATCCTGCAGGGCCACCACCAGCCGCTGGGCGGTGGTGCGGGCATGAGCATGACCCTGGGCGGCTCGGGGCCCGGTGGCCTCGGCATGACGCTCAACTATCCGCATCATGCGCAAACGCTGCAGGCGCATCATCACTACCATCAGGCCATGCCGCTGCAGGGCCACAGCGGGCACGAGTACCAGCAGACGACGCTGCCGCAGCTGGACAAGCTGGAGCTGGAGCGCTATCTGGCGGCACAGACAATTGCCAATGAGTATCGGGCGCTGAAGCCCTGGGAGCTGCCCGTCAAGGAGGCGGACGACGAGCCGGAGCATCTGTACGAACGCTTCGATCACTACGAATACCCGGACACGCACACCATGACCAAGCTGAAGCAGGCAGCCACGCTCCAGGGCAGCAGCGGGGTGACAGCAACCGGCAATGCCAACGCTGGCGCTGCCAACAGCAAGCCGCACGTGGTCTACGTATGACGTGGACGCGGCATTGCTGGCAACCAGAAACAACAGCAGCAGAACAAGCAGCAGCAGCAGCAGCAGTTGGATCTGGGCATTGAGCTGGTGGGCCTGGGCCTGGGGCTGACCAACAACAACTATCGCAGCTATGCGCAGTGCCCGAGCAAGGCGATCGATCACTTTTGAAAACAGGGATATTCACAGCAGCTGCAGCAGCAGCCGCAGGAGCAGCAGGAGCAGCAGCAGCAGCGGCAGTTTTATGTTTAAGTATCCTTCGGTTCTTTTCAGTTCGAATTTGAGTTTGAGTTGGGCATTTTCGGAGAATTTGATAACTCGCAACAAAAGTTTAACAAGCGTCAAATGAAACAAGGGATATATCTACGTGTATAGCAGCATACTATAATAATATTATAAGAATTAAGGAAAGGAGAAATTAATAAAGAATTAAAAATATAAAATTAAAAATATGTCATATTAGTTGATAAGTTGAAGAAAAGCAAAGAAATATTAATATAAATAGCAATAGTTAAATTTCTCTTACTCTCTGCCTCCCTCTATCTATCTCTCTGTCACACACACTCTCTGAAAATTAAGCAAGCAAAAAATTCACTCATAGTTGAAGGCATTCAGCATTAGTCTAGCATTAGTTAGTAAGCGCATTTAACTGAATTTAATAAACATAAATGAAACAGAAGTTTGCAGTGTGAAGAGTGCAACAATAACTAAGTTAACCATTTATTATTATTATTTGTATTCAAAATTTTTATTTTGATGAGAGCTCAACAAGTAACAAGGCTAAAGGGACCAAGCAAATAGTCCACTATTCAATATAATCCAAACTTTAAAGAGTGCAAATGCATAGCTCGCAAATAACTGTTCCTAGTTTACTCTTTATGTTTTCGCTCTTAGCAAGAGCCTTCGGTTCATTTCGTTGTTGTTTAAGGTTAAACGCTTTGAGTTGAACTATTCGTGTGACTCTCTTTTCACGAACATCGTTTAGAGAGAGAGACAATTAACGCTCTCACAATGATAAGTAAAGAAATAACCCAAAAGCTCAGCCGAGTTGATCGCAAAGAAACAGAACCGACTCAATCGGTTGAGTTTAAGCTTTCATTAAGTTCTTTCTCAAAGTGTGAGTGAAAGAAAGAAAAGGTCAACAGTTATTAGCGAGCTATGAGCAAAAGCTGAGTTACTTGAAAAAGCTAATTCGAGAATTAACTAAATTACAAATTTAAATATATACATAATTATATATAAAACACACACAAAATAAGATGACAATATATAAGAGAAAAGTGTAAATTTAAGCGAAATTCAATTTTTTATTTGTCGAGCAGCGCTCAAAACTCAAAGTTGGCCTAAAACGTAATCAAAATTGATTTGTAAATAACTAGAAATATAAATATGAAAATAAAACTAAACATAATATTAAATTTAATATTAAATTTATATATTAAAATTCTCATTACTCAAGCACAAACTTTAGCTTATTTTGCCTATATTTTGTACATAATTTATGCTTACATTTAAAATTAGTCAAGCGCAAAAATGTATATTTAACAACAAATAAATATTGAAAAAAAAAAAAAACCAAAAGAATAACAAATTTACAAGCAATTTTTGAGCAATCAAAATCGATATTATTTTCAGTTCTTTCACGGCTGAACAGCAAAACAAATAGAAGAGGCCCAGCTGCAACGTTCATTTGCATAACAAATTCAAATAGTTAAACAAAACAAACGTATGAAAATAATACTACAATAAAAATGAAACAAAACAGAGAAAATATTGAAATTAAGGCAAAGCAAGTCAAGAGCGAAGAGCAGAGAGCTAAACAAATGCAATTCGAATTTGTATTTGCAACAACAATTTTTAAAGTAAAAAAAACATCAAATGTGTGTATAAAAATATATAAATAATGTATGCTAAAGTATTTAATTGAATTCATATATATAAATATATATATATGTATGTATCAGATAGACACTGGAAATTGCGGCAACAACTAAATTCACAATACACAAATGCAAAAAAAAAAAACAAAAATAAAATTAAATAAAAACAAAATGTTATTTCTTATACGAAGACTGAGGAAAACGATGATGCAAGAATAAAAATAAAAAAATACAAAAAAATAAATAAATAAAGCTTTGATTTGCAGTAGCTTAAGAGGATTATCTTTACATTGCAGAGAGAGAGAGAGAGAGAGAGAGAGAGCGAGAGAGATTGAGAGAGAGTAAGTATGTTGGGGAAAACCTTGAAAGAGTTTTAGTAAGAGTTATGAGTTATGGGCCACAAATATTCAATGATTCATAGGAATATTTGAATTCAACAAGTAATTATTTTTTAAATGAAACATCTAAGAGCTGGATTTCATAGCCAAGTTCTTTAAAGGAAAATAAAATATTCTTCTAAGAAGTGCTAAACTAAGACATACCCAGAGTCTTGCACAGAGCTGCTATTTTCATCATTCAAATGATGTAGAATGCATTCTACATACACATCTACATCTATATTGACATATGTACATATGTAATACAGATTTACGCTTCTTACTTTCAATTGTTATCAACCAAGTCGTATATAAAAATTGCAATTGCCTAAAATATGCTATTTATGAGCTGTTATAAACAGAGAGAGAGAAATATATTCATATGATATGAGGTAATATATATTTATATAGACATTGTTAATGCCTTAATTTATTGGCATTTCATAAAATGCCTATTTTAGTATTTCACCCGTAACATTGTAGCAATCAAATAACTGTGCTAATTAAGGCTGCCAAATTGCCATCAAAAATGTTGTTAACTAGTCTAAGCAGCAGCAGCTGATGGAGCAGAAAGAACTTGAACAGCTGCAGCCAAGCAATATGTTGGTGTAATAAATCAGAGAGCTTTAGGGTTGGGCTGCTTTTGTAGTACATTTGTAGTGCTATGTGTGACAACTCTGTGCGACAGAAAAAGAAAAACATAACAACAGCAACAACTAAGAAAGCCATGTTAAGCAAATAATGGACTTGTTTTGCTTAAGAAGTGGCCAGAAATATTTTCAGAAACAGAAATAAACTGCGCAAGAAATGGCATAAATCCTAGCGCTGAAACTTGAAACGCCAACCCCACGCGCACACACACATACACACACACACACACACGCAGAGAGAACAGGACAAACACAACACAACTGATATGTGGGCACAGCAAACAGCAAACAGCAGTAAAAGCCATATATAAAAGCCAGGCCAGTAACTGGGTCAGCAAATATTGTGAAGGAGTCGGAGCAGAGCTCAAATTATTATTAACAATGCTAAATGTAACAGAATTTATACAAAGTATATATACATATTTATATATATACTACTATATTTTCATTCGGAGCTCGAGTATTTGTAATATCTGCAACTGCTCTGGGCCAGTCTGTGAGGCAGTTGCTTTATGCAGCTCTGCAGCTAACTTGACGCATTGCCTTGGGGCCAACACGTACTTACGGACAAATAAAAGTGAGTGCTGCGAGGACAGTGCAGAGAGCAGCATACGAAATTCTAAAATGCTAGGAAATGTGGGAATGAGAAATATGGAATACGCTTACTTTAAATGTACATATACCTCATACTTCTTACATAAAATATATAAAAATTATTGGAGTTTTCAATTGAAACTATTTCAAAAGATTTTCAAGCTTTTGATGTTGATAAAAAAAAAGTATGTACGGTCGAGTCCCGATAATTCTAAATGGCAAGGGGATCAGTTTTTTTTCGATTTACACAGAAATTAAAATTATCGAGAACGAATTTGTTCAATGGGATCGAATTCCTTTCAGGTTATCGCGGTTTTCGATTTACCGGGGTACAAATTATCGAGACTCCACTATATCACATAGGTTCTTCGTCAATTTACATAGAAATTCAAGCTGTCGAGAATAATCGAGAACGATTTTTTTTTTAAGGGGATCGAATTTTTTTTTTTTTTGCTGTTGCGGGTTTCGATTTACTGGGATACAAATTATCGAGACTTGACTGTACTACATAGTTTCTTCTTATATCTATAGCCTCTTTCATAAATTGAATTAAAAAGGTTTTACTTTAAATTATAAATGCTTACTTAATATGTTAAACTATCCCAATAATATTTAATCATATGAATTTTAAATAAAATATTAATTTCGAAATTCGGGAAAAAATGCAAACAGCAATAAGAGAAAATTCTTAAGGGAATGAGTAAGGCAATAATAAGTAGTCTACAGTCCATTACATTTGGGACTTTTAACCCCCAGTAACATACTAGAATACAATACAATCTCAGAAATAAAAAAAAAAAAAAAAAAAAAAAAGAAATAAAACCCGAAATATGTGTCCTCATCTCTGGCAAGCAAATGAAGGGAAAATGTTGAGCTAACCCCGGGCAGGGCATAACGAAAAACTTGGCACAACAAACACACCTCAACAAAAGCGCAAACAATGGCAACAAAGAGAGTGGGGAGGGGATTGAGTGGGTAAGGGATGGAGGTAAGCTCAACAGTTTAGTAAATAAATCTGCATGCTCTCTAAATAATTAACATGCTCGAGGCCTGTGACGAGGCTCAAGTCCCGCCCAGTTCGCTTCGCTTGCATTCTCATTCACTTTCGTTCGCCCTGCCGCACTCATCGAGTTATTCAACCCGACAAGGGATGCTCCACAAAGGGAGAAGCGCAGCGAGAAAGAGACAGAGCTAGAGTGAGACGGAGAGACAGACAGAGTGAGCCTTGACTGATTGCAGCGCAATTTGTTTGACTGTGCCACACACTCACCCACACACACACACACATGCACAGTTATCCCACTTCCTGGTCATAACACCTGGTCCTGGCGTGAAACTAATGTCAGCCAATTAATATTGGCATAATGCATATTCGAAACAGGCAACAACAAATTGCGCGATTAGCTGAAAACGTTTTGCACCAATTTCTTTGAAACAATTTTCGTTCACTTTTTTTTTTTTTTTTTCCTACTCAATAAGTCATAAAGTGCAGGAAACGTTGAGGAAATCTATGAATGAGCGGAGGCCATTAAATGCAGCCCCAAAGACGCGAGACACGGCCGTTTTAGCCATCATTTCCGAGCCGTAAATAACTGTCAGTCGGACGCGGCAACATTTGAGTTACGACCGTGGCAGCATTTTAATTGCCAAAGATATTTGTTAGAGGTGCTAACTGCTGCCGGCTGTCTTCCAGAGATACAAATACACAGCTTCAGCTGTAGATACACACACACACACACTCACAACTCTGTTGCCTAGAACTGCACGGCTATTAATTTAAGTGCTGCTGCCTCGCATAAACATTTTAATGGCACAAATTTGGCTAAAAGATGCGCCAACTGCCAAATGAAATTGCGCCAATTGAATTGCCAATTTCGCCAGCCAATGGAGCACAGCGAATTATTGCGTATGACAATTAATTGATTGAAGCGAGACGCAACAGCAGACTATTACTCTGTATGTTAATACTTTTTTTTTTATATAAGCTATATATAAATTTTATTAAATCATTTTGTTGACTCATTTTTTTGTATATTTAATTAAATCAATTTATTAACTTTTTTTTAATAAAACTTTAATATAATAAAACCATCATTTTTTTTTTGCACAATTTTCTTTACTTATTTTTTAGGACTTAAAATTTTATATTTTATTACATGATTTTACTTTATTTATTTTGTACGAAAAAAACTATATTTTTGTATATTTGATTAAATCATTTTGTGGACTTATTTTTTAAAAATAAAATTATAATATAATAAAACTATAATTTTTATATTTTTGCATCATTTTTTTTTTTTTTTTTTTTTTTACTTTTTAATCGGAATAAAACTATAATGTTATATACTTGATTAAATCATTTTATTGACTTACATTTTTAAATAAAACTATAATATAACTTCAATTATATTTTAATATTTTATTACATCATTTTGTTTAATTATTTTTATAGAAATACAAATATTTTAATATTTTATTACATAATTTTGTTTAATTATTTTTATAGAAATACAATTTTATATTTTTTTTTACATAATTTTACTTTTTTTTTTTAAAGAAATAAAGCTTTAGTTTTGTTTATTTTATTACAACATTTTGTTTACTTAATTTATTTATAATAAAAGCTAATTACCGTTTGCTTATCTGATAGTAGTCAAAATGACATGGAAGAAGAATATTATTAAAAATAAAAATATATATATTTTTTCGTATAACTTTTA